TCAGCTTTCCTGCTCCTCTGATGCTGCTTGGCCTGCTGTGTTCATCCTGCTCTACACCTTGTTATCTCAGTGCTGGGTCCACTGCTTTGTGTCATTTATATAAATGATTTGGATGTGAACATAGGAGGTATGGTTAGTAAGTTTGCAGGTGACACCAAAATTGGAGGTGTAGTGGACAGTGAAGAAGGTTACCACAGAGTACAATGGGATCTTGATCAGATGGGTGAATGGGCCGAGGGGTAGCAGATGGAGTTTAATTTAGATAAATGTGAGGTGCTGCATTTTGGAAAGGCAAATCAGGGCAGGATTTATACACTTCATGGTAAGGTCTGGGGGGAGTGTTGCGGAACAAAGAGACCTTGGAGTGTAGGTTCATAGTCTGTTGAAAGTGGAGTCATTGGTAGACAGGGTAGTGAAGAAGGCGTTTGGTATGCTTACCGTTATTGGTCAGTGCGTTGAGTAAAGGAGTTGGGAGGTCATGTTGCAGCTGTGCATAACATTGGTTTGACCACTTTTGGAATACTGCATGCAATTCTGGTCTCCCTGTTATAGGAAAGATGTTGTGAAACGTGAAAGGGTGCAGGAAAGATTTACAAGGATGTTGCCAGGGTTGGAGGGTTTGAGCTATAGGCAGAGACTAAATAGACTGGGGCTATTTTCCCTGGAGCATCGGAGGCTGAGGGGTGACATTATAGAGGTTTATAAAATCATGAGGGACATGGATAGGGTAAATAGGAAGGTCCTTTTCCCAAGGTGGGAGAGTCCAAAACTAGAGGGCATAGGTTTAAGGTGAGAGGGGAAAGATTTAAAAGGGACCTAAGGGGCAACTTTTTCATGCAGAGGGTGGTGCGTGTATGGAATGAGCTGCCAGAGGAAGTGGTGGAGACTGATACAATTATGACATTTAAAAGGCATCTGGTTGGGCACATGAATAGGAAGGGTTTTGAGGGATATGGGCCAAATGCTGGCTCTTGCCACTGGATTTATATGGACAGGTTGGACTGAAAGGTCTGTTTCCGTGATGTATAGCTCTATGACTCTAAATCTTTGTCCTCTCACCTTAAACATGTGCCCCCTAGTTTTGAAATCCCTCACCCGAGGGAAAAGACACCTACCTTTATCTATAATTCTCATCTATATTATTTATTTATTTATCTATAACCCAAAGACCCTTATCTATACCCCTCATGATTTTTAAGGTCACCCCTTAAATGGGGATTGCCTAATTAAATCCACAGAGGCAATGTTTTTTATGGACACAACACTGAGAATGAGCCCCCTACAGTGACTCTTCAATGGAGTTCACAGAAGAGACATTCACCCACCTATTTTACATCCCTCGATCAGACCCAGGAAACAACAGGAATGGGGTCATGGGCAAAGTAATGCAAGAGGCCCCTTCGTCACCAGAGTGAGAGGGAACCTTCAGACTTGGAGGGGGAAGGATGTGATAAATCCTACAAGGCCCAATAGGAAATGACTAATTAACCTCCCTGTGGAGATCATTGAGTATGAGTTCTCCTGGTAACAGGCGATGGTCAGCCCACTGGAACTCATCACCTGAGCCCTTTATCCTCTTGTGGCTGTGCACTTTTGTGGCACAGCGGTAGTGTCCCTACCCCTGAACCAGGAGGTCCAGTGCTCTCGAGGTGTGTAATGAAGTCTCTAAATGTGTTGATTTTAAAAAGGTTAATTTTTTTTAAAAAGTTACATTTTATAAAACACACCTAGGGCTCTTGTGGTGTAGTGGTAATGTCCCCATCTCTAAGCCAGGAGGCCTGGGGTCAAGCCCCACCTGCTCCAGGGACATCTAATAACACCCTGAATAGGTTGATTAGAAAATATCCATAAAGCAGACCCGGTTACATAACCATAAAATGTGTGTATCAAATTGAACTTCAACCAACACCAAAAATAACAACTGTATTTATATGACACCTTTAATGTAATAAGTCTTTACAGAGGTGACTGTCAGGCAAAAAGTGACACCAAGCAACACAAGGAGGTCTCAGAGCAGGTGACCATCTGAAACCTTAGTCACAGTGGGAGATTTTAAGAAGAGAATTGACAGAAGGAGAGAGAGAGAGATACAAAGAGGTTAGAAGAAGAAAGTCCAGATGTAGGAGTGTCTAGGCTTCTCCAGAGATACAAGACCTTAAAACAGACCCACGAGGCTCTTGTGGCACAGTGATTACGTCCCAAAGTTTGAGCTAAAAGGTCATGTTCAAGTCCCACCTACACCAGAGGTGACTCAAAGTGCATTACAAAAGATTGATTAAAAATACGTAAAGCAGACCCACTGAGACTGTGCATTACTATCTGTCCCAGGCTGGGACTAGCCTATATATGCCACGAAGAGTGGCTTGATTTTGGTGTTCGACAATAAATGATGTTCCTTTCTAGTCCAGCTTCCTGAGTCATTACAAAGAACAAAAGAACGATGTAATAATTTAAATAAGAACTGACTTATATTTCTGCTCTCTGGGCGATCGCTCCTCCGCTCTAAGACCTCATTTTATTCAAAGACCACACATGGTCTTGTGCGCAATGCAACTCCAAAAGAGCTACAACTAATAAATCATTAAAATCTTCTGTTGACACACATGTCCTGGCCACAAACTGTACCTTTCAGGTAACAATTTTTTAATCATATCATCCATCAACTTTCACCATTGTTAATGGTTATGACACGTTCTGACCACTAGATAGCTCAATGGCGTGTGTTACCACAATCTTTTCCCTACTCTGTCCCAATATACAAATCAGCAAATGACCATGGGCAACAACACTGGCAATTTTATCATTTCAATATGTAGTCTCTGTGGTCTCTGATATACACAAACTCTTTAGTGACTATGCTTTTAATAATATCTTATCAAGACCCGATGCAAATAGGAAGGTTAACAAGGAGCTGTTTGAGACCATCAGGTACAGTTTTCTTGTATGTAATATAAACTGCTCTTGCTTTCTCTATGATAAGAAATTCCTAAAAGAATAAGGATTGACTTGGGGTACATGTTATTGGAATAATTTGCTCTCAGGGAGGGTAGAGGCTGACATGAACAAAAACAGAAGTTGCTGGAAAAGCTCAGCAGGTCTGGCAGCATCTATGAAGAGAAATCAGTGTTAATGTTTTGGGTCTGGTGACCCTTACTCAGAGGCAGACCTGGACTGGATTGCAGATTGCATGTATTTCAATGTTGAATGTAAGGGACAGAGCAGAGTTGGGTAGGTTCAGTATCGGGAACAAGCAGTGCCCTGGAAACTATCTGTGTGGGAAATGACCAGGAACGTTTACATCTGCAATCACATCCTCTCAAATATCTCTGGAGTCATTTTTGTACTTACAATTTGGTGTGCAGGCAGGCACAGGATCACCTTCTGTAGTCACATTTTGAAAAAAAAATGATTTTAACCTGTCCTTGCTTCATAGCAAGTCAAACACTCTACATGATATGTTCTGTAGGACATACCCTTCCAGGGAGACAGAAGACTTCACCCTGGACCTGACCAGGGCCTGTTGATAGTACAGAATCTACCACAAACAGAGAAATACACAGTTAGATACAGCACGGAGATCTGTCTGTGTGTAAAATGAAGCAAATGATCAAGTGTTTCTTTTGTAAACGCACAGACATCAGTCCACCAGTGAAGCTGACTTTCACATCAGATGTTCCAAATCCAGTGATATGGAAATAGTTTTCTTTTAAAAGAAACGCTGACCAGAAAAGAACTTAAATTTTGAAATTAAAGTAATTTAGAATGGGACAAGACAGTATGGAGCTGGAGGAGAACAGCAGGCCAGGCAGCATCAGAGCAGCAGGAAAGTTGATGTTTTGAGTTGGGACCCTTCTTCAGAAATTTCTGCTGTGTTCCTCCAGCTCCAAACTGTATTGTTTCTGACTCCAACATCTGCAATGCTTGCTGTCTCTAATTTAGAATGGGGTGTTATTTTAAATATCTTTTTTAAGAGTAAATGGAATCTTGCAGAATATCAATCCAACTGAATCAGGAATATGAAGCCACAACATTTACCTCTCTCCTGTAATAATCATATGTCTTCTTCTGTTGAATAAAAAGATACAAGAAGCGATCAATAATTTTTAAAGTCAAAGTCTTGTGATGTTGTTATGTGCTGTGTACAATGGAGTTCAGATTTAAGGTGGAGCCACTCCTGCTTGCTTACTCAATGTTCCTCACATTTTCCTGTCTGTAATAAGCACCAGCCCATGAGTGAGTATTTGTAATACTGATCTCCCAATGTGAATTGATGTCTAGAGTGATGATCATTCTCTAATTGCCAGAGAATATACAGAAAAACTGATGATGTGGATTTAAAAGAGTGTTCTCCCATTCACTGAAAAATGCCTGGGCGACAGATGGGAAAGGACCTGATATTTATAAAATTAAGAAACATCAACAATAACAGTCACATTTTGAAGGCACATGGAAGGCCGGGACCCATAGAGAACCAGAGGGAGCAGCATGACCTTGTGCTCAGGGGCCTGCAGGCGTGCCCCATGAGCCCCAGAACACCGCGAGCAGTGAGCCCTGGAGCAGCGCATGAGCCGTGAGCCCGGAGCGGCGCGTGGGCTGTGAGCCCTGGAGCGGCGCGTGGGCCGTGAGCCCGAAGCAGCGCGTGGGCCGTGAGCCCGGAGCAGCGCAGGGGCCGTGAGCCCGGAGCGGCGCGTGGGCCGTGAGCCCTGGAGCGGCGCGTGGGCCGTGAGCCCGGAGCGGCGCATGGGCCGTGAGCCCGGAGCAGCATGTGGTAAACAGTCCCTGGAGCAGCGTGTAGGCAGTGACTCCTGGACGGAGACCAGTGTGAGGGGACAATCCCTACCTTAGAACACTGTAATGTTAACACCTTAACATACCCCTTAATATATTCCTGTTTTTAACTTATTTTCAACTACATAATTATGCAAGTACTTTCATCCCTCTGTTGTATCCAAGAATTGTACCTAGGTACTTGTACCTCAGGTGTTGCCATAAGAAGGCAGACATTGTAAAAGTTTTTCACTGTACTCCTACAATGCAGCACATGTGACAATAAAAGGATATTGTATATTGTATAACATCATTTTAATAAATTTTTAAAATTACAATGGCCCAGAATTTGCTTAATGAGGATGGGGATGTTGTACCATTCCTGATGTCATAACCTGGAACTTTGCACCATTTCCACTTTCTGTCTTTTTGCCTTTTCCCACACAATTATTGTTACAATTGAGCAATTGCAAATTATTATAAATAATCCAGCTGCCTTTAACCTTGATAAAATCATAAAATCCCTACAGTGCAGAAAGAGGCCATTCAGTCCATCGAGTCTGCACCAACCCTCTGAAGGTCATTACACCCCAACCCAGGCCCCTAATTACCATGGCTAACACACCCAGCCTGCACATTATGGGTAATTTAACATGGCTAATCCACCCAGCCTGCACATCCCTGAATACTACAGACAATTTAGCATGGCTAATCCACCCAGCCTGCACATCCCTGAACACTATGGGGCAATTTCCCATGGCTAATCCATCTAACCTGCACATCTTTGGAGGAAACCAGAGCACCTGATAGAAACCCATGCAGGCACAGGGGAGAATGTGCAAACTCCACATAGACAGGCACCCGAGGGTGGAATTGAACCTGGACCCCTGGCACTGTGAGGCAGCAGTGCTAACCACTGAGCCAGCGTGCCGCCCTAACCTGAAATTCCAAAATGTGTTGTTGTTTACTTTAAACACTTGCTCCTGAAAACTATATGCTGTGGGTGTAAATCAGTGACTATCTGACAAATCCCTGGGTAAATCCAATGGAATGTTGCACCTGTAAAGTATGAGAGGGATTTCAAATCAGGAGATAATCAGAGGAGATAATCAGAGGAGATAATCAGAGGCTGACGATACTCCCATGTCAGCAGAAAGCCACTCTTTTACCCTCCCAGAGGTAAGTAACAATCAAGGGGTTAAGAAATGATCACAGCACAAGTCTGTGTGTGTTAATGGTCTGACATTGTGCTATGTGGATTAAAATGCTGCAAAGACTACAGCTTTGAGAACAGTTATTTAAACACCTTTACACTGCTGATAAAACAGAAAGGGATTCATCATTTTCACACTGAGAGCTACCAACCAGTTAAAAAGAAAACAGAACAAAAGAATTTCAATCACAAAGCCAAAAATCTTGAGATGACAGCTCAATACTTACCAGCACCATCCAATGACAGCTGTAATGTCTTGTGTCTGGTCCTCTTGAACAATTCAGAGACTGATCTGCATTTTTTTTTGGACTTACCTCTTATTTCTAAACTGTGTTGTGTTACTATCACTTCTCACATTCAGTAATTAATGAACTCACGCATATGTTTAATTCAAGAAAGCCTACATAAATTGGCCCCTTTTAAAATGTAAGTTTCATCTGGATCCAGGAGAGAGATATTCACAATGGAAGGGAAGCTTTTTTAAATGAAACTTGTGGTAACCAACCGAGCGGGGTGGAGGGGGGAGGGGATGGTGTTGTTTGTGAGCGGGGGGGGCGGTCATGCATGTGAAAACCAAGAGGAGACAGTTCATTGTTCCTCACCCTTGAGGCCAATGGGTTTGAGGTATCCTGCCAGGAACTGTAACCGATTGAGGAACCTTACCCAGGAACTGGTTGTAACAGCACAGTGAGACCATGGTGACCTTTCCAGGATTTTAATAGAAAGCATATGGAAATCTGGGAATGTCTGAACAAAGTTGAGGGGAAAGTCATAGGATGTTGTTAAACTAGAAAGGGAGCAGAAAAGATTTACAGGAACGTTGCCAGGATTGTACGGTTTGAGCTATAGGACAGAGAGACTGAATAGGCTGGGGCTATTTTCCCTGGAGCGTCGGAGGCTGAGGGGTGACCTTATAGAGGTTTATAAAATCATGAGGGGCCTGGATAGAGTGAATAGCCAAGGTCTTTTCCCCCAGGGTAGGGGACACCAAAACTAAAGGGGCATAGGTTTAAGGTGACAGGGGAAAGATTTAAAAGGGACCTCAGGGACAATTTTTTCACACAGGGGGTGGTGCGTGAATGGAATGAGCTGCCAGAGGAAGTGGTGGAGGCTGGTACAATTACAACATTTAAAAGGCATTGGGATAGGTAAATGAATAGGAAGGGCCAAATGCTGGCAAATGGGACTAGGTCAGATTGGGATGCGTGGTAAGCGTGGACATGATGGACCGAAGGGTCTGTTCCCATGCTGTAGATTGAGGCCAGCATCAGTTTTAGTTACCAGGGTCCTGGATCAAATCAGATGGCGCTCTAACTACCTCCAGTTGACACACAAACATCTGCTTTCCATCTTCAAGTTGTTGACTTTTTGCTGAGGTGGCAGCAAGCCCCTGGTATCAAGGCACCGTGTGTGAATAGGCTGTTCAGCTGTGTAGGGCTTCACGTAGGCGCAGTCCTGTGTCCTTTGAGGATGGGACTATTAGCAATCTGGAGAGGGATGGAGAGAATGAGTTGGGGAAATCGCTGAAATCTTTGCAAGGAATGCAGACATCATGTCTCCAGTTTGTTTACTGATGTATGTCACTTTCTTCTGATCAGACATTGTTAAACAAACATGGGTGATAATAAACTGCAATCCTTTTAGGCTCAGAAAGATTTTTCTTATTTTGGGAGTTAGAGCCAAGTTGAGCGAACATTGAAAGGTTCAAAGATTAGATTGTGAACAAGGGATAATTAATTGAACAGTCAGTTTGAGGACAGCCAAGAAAAGGTAGTGTTGTGATGGAGACGGACGGAGCTAAGGTGGTTTATATTTATCTGGGTGTTTGCTGGAAAAGTGGATTGGGCCTCACATTGTTTGCACGTTACTGAGAAAAGGTTGCTAAAGTAAATGATAGCTAATCAGACCTGCACAATAAGCAGAGTTAAAAAGTAATTTCATCATTGATCGGGTGAAGTGCAAATTTCACCTTAGATCTTGTCAGGAATTTGACGGTGGAAGATTGTCTTTTTTTAAAGTCAGTGGGAGAATCTACAGTGGACCTAGCAGAGCTTCTGGCAAATGAAAATAATCAGTTGAATTAGCCTAGACATATTAACAAAGTAACCAGAACTGTGGCATCTACAGTCAAAAGATGGTAAACTAAGGTTTTACCTCTGAGAATAGCTGCAATGAAGGACAATTCTTCACAGGATTAAAGCACACTTATGAACAGTCCCTACAGAAGTAAATAACTTTAAGATCGACGATTCTTATAAGAGAATTTTATTCTTGAGAGAAATAAACCTGAATGTATAATGTATGTAGTTATAAACTGTTTGGTTAATAGTGCTCGTTCCATTGAACTCTTTAAGATAAGGTTGGTGCTTTGTCTAAAAACGAAATCTTGCGGCATATTTTTGGGTAATAGGAGGTGTTTGAATTTCTCTTTTAGCATTAACGGTCTCGATCAGGTTCTAAAGTTCCCATTTCCCAATTTACTCCTAATTTCCAAGGGTTGTATTTTTCTGTACAAAATAGCCTTTTTTATTTAAAAACAAATGCAACTTCCTGCCAATCAACTTTAATACAAGAATTACTCCTTTCAATTTTAGACAAAAAACATTCAAGTATAATAACTCAATACTTGTGGCTCCTTGGGAATCCATTTTTAAAAAAATCTGCCTCAATCCTCTCATAAACTTAGGAGTATAATGAGGAAGCTGCAAATGGAAGCATTTCTCATTCCCCAATTGCATTTCTTTTCCTTTACTTTCCTCCTTATTTTGTGAAACATCTCAGCAAGATTATAGTAAATGAGAATCAAATCTAAAGGAGCAAAAAACAGTGGAGAGGAATGGGATAGAGACTGGGATAGGTATAGCGTAAGGCTGGGTATAGAATAGAGATACAGACAGGGATACTGATGGAGATGAGGGTAGATTATAGGGAATGGTTGAGGACAGAGATGGAAGCTATGGGCAGAGAGAGACTTTAGGACTGGGGCAGAGATAAAGATGTGGTAAAACAAAATATGTTGCAGTCATCTGACTTAAAACAGATCCATGGAGATAGACAGTCACAAGACACTAATGTACTGGATAAATCTGAATGGGAACAAAAGAAGAGAAAAATGAACAGATTTAATTGGTAACTATACCAGAAGCTACACTATATTAATATAATTTACACAGAACTTAGAGACACACATCTTAACCTGGGGAGAGTGCCTGATTATTGAAGTAGTGACAGAACTGAGTACAGAATAAAAGGGGAACATTGCACACAGGGAGCACTGATCAGAATGTCATACAGTGCACAGTTTCCCATTCACATAAGTAAATCAGGTTCGAGTCCCACCTGTTCCAGGAGTGTGTGAACACTTCAACGCACCACCGTGTTCCCTGGCCAACATCTCTGTCTCCGGCTCACTGCAGTGTTCCAGGGAAGCTCAATGCAAGCTGGAGGAACAACACCTCATCTTCTACCTAAGCACCTTACAGCTGTCAGGCCTCAACAGCGAGTTTATCAATTTCAGAGCACAAACACCTCCCTGCATGTTCATTCCCCATCCCCACAGCCCCAGCTCCTGTACTATATGGGTTGCCTCCAGCCGAGCCAACCCATTTTCAACCATTCACACTTCCCATTCGTACCCGCTCAGCACTTACTTCTCTCATGTCATCTCTGTCCCTGGGCAACGTCTCCATCTATTCAACTCACTTCTTCCTTAATCCCTAAACCCACCCTTGTCATCAGCATGAACACCACCATTTCCCAGCTGCTTTCAGTTCTGAGGAAGTCATACTGGGCTTGAAATGTTAACTCCGTTTCTCTCCACAGACGCTGCCAGACCTTATGAGTTTTTCCAGCACTTTCTGTTTTTGTTGAGGAGATAGCAGGATAGGTTCCACCCCAAGCCACTCACTATCCTGACATGGAAATATATCACTATTCCTTCAGTGTTGCTGGATCAAAACTCTGAAACTCCCTCCCTAACAGCATTGTGGGTGTATCTACACAATAAGGACTGCAGCAGCTCAAGAAGGCAGCTCACCACCACCTTCTCTGGGGTAATTAGGGATGCGCAAAAAGTGCTGGCCCAGTTAGCGACACACAAACTCCATAAAAGAATAACGCAACATGTGACGAAGTTTGGGGATGGGAGGGCCAGAGAGGGAATTATGGAGCTGGGGGCTCAGGTAGCTGAAGGCACAGCCTACAATGCTACTGTTCCCACTTCTCACCAAGGCTCACATTCTACCACGTAACACAATCTGCACGTCCTCTGTGCTGCCTACTCACTCACTCAGGACACCTGCACCTACAGTAATAGCTAGGTCACCCATTTTCATCTCTTATAATACCTGCCCCTCTCTCATTCCAGAAGAAAAATGGCTCAGAGGAGGGGAAAGAGTCACGACAGGTGGTGGGCTAGCAACATCAGGCTCCTTGCACCTTATGAGGACAAATTCCTGAGTCTGATTGCCCATATCCAAGCCCCTGGGCTGGTTTCAGAGGCTGTTCTTGATTTACCTTGCTGGAACCCCCCGAGTATCGGCTATCTCCCTTGGTTTGATGGAGATCAGCTCACTACCACAACAAACTTCCACCTTTGTGTCGGCTCTATATGGCAAGGCAGGTGTAATGTGAGCCTGGTATCTCTGGCTGAAGGGACAAAGTGTGGGCAGGGATTCTGTGAGCTTCCACACAGGCTCAGAGCGAGTGAGCACTGTGAAGCGAGTGAACAGCTTGGAGCTACAGCCTGGTCCAGTCTACGAGCGCGGTGTGTCCCAGAGCGCACAGTGTCCTTGCTGCAGTGTTACAGTGAGAGTTGCCTTGGGCCAGCCCAAGGTGCAGCGTTGAAGTGTCCTCTAAGTGGATCAGAGAAGTACCCCGGTGGTTCTCAGAGGGTCTGTTTCCGTGCTGTATGGCTCTCTGACTCAATGTGGCTGGTATCCGTGGAGCATATCCTGAGATGTTGATACCCAGAATCCATTATGGGTGGTCCTTCAGAGCAAGGGCCATCTGAACTCACCAGGTATTCACCATGATTTCCATGCTGAGAATTCTCAATGTCTAATTTATTTGGTGTGTTTGGTAAGATAGAAAGCTGACTATTAGTGGGGTGAGATGCGCCATTAACAAGCTATTTTAACAAGCAAAAGTTTTCCCCCCGCCCCCCCAATTTAATTGACATCTCACCACAGCCTAGTATGGAACTCACCGCACTGCTCGTCAAAAGCATAAAAGATGGAGTGAGATAGAGTGAGGGTTCCCCCTGGATTTCTCAATCAATTCTGCCACAATCTACTCACAGTCCACCTCGCTCAGACGCCCCCATAAGACTCCGTCCGTGGTTCCGAGGTGGAACTGGGAGAGGAATGTGTATCCTGGAGAGGAAGATGGGGAAATTAAGTGGTTGCAGGGTAGAGAGATTCCGGTTGGTGGGCTGGGTGTGGGGCATCGGCCTCCCTGAGAGGTCAGAGGTCAGACTGAAAGTCCACCAATGCCCACTTCAAATGGGCATTGACCAATCCATCTCCTCAACTCCAATCAGTCAGGGTCACAGTGGGGTCAGGAATGTTTAACACGCAAGTCTGACCCTGTGAGAAATTATAATTTAAAAAGGAACAATTTTTGGTTTAATCAAAAAACGATTGTAGGTGAGAGTCAGAAGTTTTCAATGATTAAATGCGAAGAAGTGATCCAATTAAAGTTCTGATTAATGTTGAGCCTCCTGTGACTGGAGTGTGATAACATTACAGCTGGAATATTAATCTGTGCAGACAGGGAGTTGATCAAAGGAAGTCAGTCCCAGAAATAATCAGAGAAGCTGCAATCCTACAGCCTCCAGCTCACTTTATTAAATCTTTAAACTTTGTTTTTACTGAAACAGAATGAAGGGAAAATGATTTTCACTGTGTGTGAGATCTCCTCACTGCTTCCTAGCTGCAGGCAATTCTTATTTTAGTCACTATCACCCAGTGGAACGTTCCAGATGCTGCAGCTACCGAACCATACACAGCGTGAAACCCCCTCTGTTCACATTGCCCATGGCAAAGGTCGCCCCCACAAAGCCTTGGCATTGATCTGTTGCTAAGAGTCGAAAGTTTTGAGAAACTCCTCGGGAAATGGAAATCCCAACATTTAGCACTCGGGTGGCAGTGCTGGAGGGTATCCGAAAGGGGGCTGGGAATACGGAATTAAAATCAAAATACCACAGACGCTGGGAATCTAAAATCAAAATCAAAAGGTGCTGGAGAAACTCAGCAGGTCTGGCAGCATCTGTGGAGAGAGAAACAGGTTTAAAGTCTCAAACCCAGTTTTGACTCTCCCAAGAGATCTTTCTTGGATTAAATGCGAGTAAATAGGGATAGTCATGAACCTGAAACATTAACACTGTTACTCTCTGTTCTTGGTCTGGCCTGCTCTGTAATCCCTGCCTTTTCTCTTTTTATTTCAGATTTATAGGATCGGAAGTGGAAGAGGCAGCGAGGAGCCAGGACCAGGTTGTGAATAGCTGATTGCCACGCATTAAACAGGAGCTGCTTGGGTGATGTGCCCAATGTGGGTTCCCCAGCTGAGCACAATGCACCAAGTTGGCCTTGGAGTGGCTGTGCACCTGGGGAATGGGGGCCAGAACTGCCTCAGGGCCCACAAACAGGTGACTCCTTCCCCGAGACACCGGGAGAATCCAACCAGACCCACTCGAGCTAGCTCTGTCATTCAATCCGGTAATTTTCTTCACTCTTTTGTGTGATGTGAGCAAGGGCTGCATTTGTTGCCCCATCCCTAATTGCCCTGGAGAAGATGATGGTGACCATGGCTGATCTTTTACAGCAGCTTCACTTCCCTGCACTATTCCCATCTCCTGCCATCTTGATTTGGACAGTTTCTTGTGTATAAACCTCGTCAAGCACTCCCTGTGAGAAAGCAGCCTTCATTTCCATTAGTAACGATAGCCTATGACTCCATCCTGCTAACACACACTGCGACACACATTGCTCACCACCTGGCACAGGAAGATCCCAGCTTTACGTGGCGGAGAGATAACGACAGCAAGAGTAAGGTCGCTATGATCAGCCTGGGCTCCCAGCGGGCACCCCCACCCAACCTCAAAGTGAAAGAGGCAGCGAGGAGCCAGGACAGGTTGTGATGCTGCCCACAGTTGAATAGCTGATTGCCACGCATTAAACAGAAGCTGCTTGGGAGATGTGCCCAATGTGGGTTCCCCAACTGAGCACAACGCACCAAGTGGCCTTGGAGTGGCTGTGCATCTGGGGAATGGGGGCCAGAACTGCCTCAGGGCCCATAAACAGGTGACTCCTTCCTCGAGACACCGGGAGAATCCAACCAGACAAAGCCCTGAAAACGGGCACTGAGGCTGGGCTCACCTGCTCTACCTTGTCTGCACTTGGGTCTGTCACACGGTTAATCCCGTAATCAAGGACGTCAAGAGTTCCTGGCTGTTGGAAAAGTCCCAAAGAAGAAACAACTTTAACCAGCAATGTTAACGTGACAACAATCTCCTGGTGCTTCATAAAATGGGAGGGTTCTGGGTGGAACACTCAAAACTTGTTTCTTTTTAATTAGAGAGAATTGAATCAGAGATACGAGAGGAGGCCATTCAGCCCTGGGCTGATGCTGCCTATGTCAGGCCAGCTGTGGCTCAGTGGGTAGCACTGTTGCCTTTAGGTCCCACCTCAGAGACGCTGAGTAAAAACATAGACCAGCACTCGCAGTGCAGAACTGAGTGAGTGCTGCACTGTTGGTGCTGCTAGTATTTGAATGAGAAGTTAAGTAGAAGCTCTGTCCATTTTCTTGGGCTAATGTAAAAGATCTTACTTGATTAATTATTGTCAAGCACCAAGATACAGTGAAAAGTATTGTTTTATGTGTGCTTTCCAGACAAATCACGCCTTATATAACTACATCAGGCTAATAGAACAGAATGCAGGATATAGTGTTACTTTGAACGGGAGTTCTTCTTGTCATCCTGGTCAATATCTACCCCAACATCTCTAAAGACTGAAGATCTTGTCATTGTCACACTGTCCTTTAGGGGATCTTGCTGTGAGTAAATTGGTTGCAGTTTTTGCTATCTTTTACAACAGGGATTACTGGTTTGAAATACATCATTGGTTGTGAAGTGCTTTGGGGCATTCTGTGTTTGTGAAAGGTGTCAGAGAAATACAAATCTACACCTTTAAGGGGATTAAAGAACCATATTTGAGTCTATCCTCAACAAATCACTTATACAAGGTCAATACTCACCGCTGGTCTGTGCACTAGCCAATACGCTCTCTCCTGGCAATCCAGAACAAACCTGTCAGCCTTTTTACGTTCTTTGCCAGCCCTGGTGTAGGAAACAAAAAAGAAGCAAATTTGTAGAACACATCCGTTCTCAAATATATTTGACTATCATTGTAACCGTGGGCAGTATTGTGAGACTGTTCCACCTGTACTGGGGGCAGTAGTGACAGACTGTATTCTCACTGATGTCTGAGTTAACAGGCAATTAAGTTGTGTTTTCACCATAGAACCAATGTTATTCCAATTCATATTAGAATTACAACATAATAATGCAATTTTAAACATGCCTTTTTTTATTCCTCCCTCATTACATCTCTTAGCGTATTGATCTTTCATGTCTTTAAGTTATCACGGGCAGAAATTTCAGGTTTGAAAGCAGGGTCACCGAACTTTGCTATTCTCTCTGCAGATGCTGTTAGACTGCTGGGTGTTTGCAGCACTTTCTCTTTCTGCTCCCACAAACAACAGTGTGACAATGACTAGATAATGTTGTTCCTCAAAACAGTACTATCAGCTTGCTTACGTCTCACAGATAGAGCCGAAAGTCTCCTCTGAAAGATGGAGTCTCTGACAGTGTGGCACTCTCTCTGTGTTGCACTGGAGTGTCAGTGTGGGTTACGCTCCCAAATCTCCAGCGTAGAACTTCCACATAGCATTTTTATTAATTATTACTTTAATTTTGTTAATGGGGCTAATATTCCTCTCATTAGATAAAGGTAAAGTCACTGTAGTCTGCCTTTCTCATCAGAGACAGACAACTGGCAGTGTCTGTTTCACCAAAGGCAAGGGCTGAGGTTGAGAAGGTAGGCCCTTCATGGACCACCGTAGGAATTGAACACATGCTGTTGGTGTTACTCTGCATTACAGAAAAGCTGTCCAGCCAACTGAGCTAACCAATCACCCAGCCCTCTCATTAGTGGCTAACCAGAAACCTCAAACAGACTGAGCAGGCCTGTCTCTGAGAAACCATGGGTTTCAGAATTTATCCTGAAGTTTTCTCAAGGGTTTTAATCCATGACAGGCTCTTTTTGAAAGGACTCAGCTTGGAAACAGCATTAGAACAAAACACCTTCACGGCTTCTGGCCACAGCACATTCTCGGTCAGAGAGGACTGGGTTCAAATCTCACTCTACAGACTTTAGCAGAACAATCCAGACTGACACACCAGCTGAGGGACTGAGGGAGCACTGCCGCTTTGTCAGAGGTGTCATCTTTGTGGGAGAGATGTTACACAGAAACCCCATCTGGGTGAAGAAGATCCCATGATAGTGCCTGTTCTTCTGGTGCCTTGAACAGCGTTTTTGGCAACTCAAACAACATTGCCGAAACAGATTATCTGGTCACATACTCATTGCTATTTGAAGGAACTTACAGTGTAAGTATTGTGTGCCACTTTTCCAAATTACAACTGAGATTTTTTAAAAAAATGTTAGTAGGGTAAAATAACTCCATGGAGGCTGGCATCTGGTCACCAAGTCACCCTTTATTTACACATGGGCTCTGACCAGCTAGCTCAGAGCCAGTCCCTAGAGTGAGGAGAATCTCCAATACTCCTGCTTCTATCTGTCAGCCAGGGCTCCCTGATTGGCCCCGGTTAATAGCCCCAATCAGCCCCCACCTGGCCAACCTCATTCCAATCACTACATAGGGGCATTTCAGATGTATAAATGGATGTGTAAGGTGCTATATGAATGTGAACTTTCATTCCCATAAAATTTTAAACTTCAGCAGGACCACAGCATCTCCAGAACACAAACCTGAAACTACAATGCAACAACACTGACTCAGCAGTCCCCTCTACTGGACATGGTTTATATTACACATACAGGGAAGAATCCATGTCAACTATCCAGATGAGGAGTCAGACTCCGCTGCACCCCCACCCTGTGCCCACAGGAAAGCTGTATACTTGTGGCCCACAATTTTCTTCTCCTTAAAATCACAATCTGCACACGGGTGGCATCCCAAAGAGTGGCAGGATTGTGTAAGAGAAAACATTGCTGTATGGTCTCGAACCCTGTACAAGAGAAGAAAGGAATTGTTTGTGCTTTATACTCATGGCTTACAGATCTGTGCAGCTGATGGCTCCCATTCCTTCCTGCCAGAACAGGCTCAGTGACCTGGCTCAAAAGGTATCCCTCAACAACATCACTAAGAACATAAACAGAGGCTCAGTCCTCTCTGAGCTGAATGCAGATGATCCCACAGGATTATTTTGAAGAAGAGCGGGAATTACTCCCAGTGTCCCAGTTAGCATTTATCCTTCAACCACTGGATACAAATAAACAAAGCAAAATACCATGGATGGTGGGAAGCTGGAAAAAAGCCAGAATGTGCTTGAAAGCTCTGAAATACATGCTGCTGAAAGGTCATCAACATATGACAACAACTCTGTTCCATTTTTGTAGTTCCTTTCTGACCGTCAGTGTATTTCCAAAATTTTGCAGTTTTTATTTGACTAAAGTACAGACGCCCTGGTCGTTAATATTGTTGCCGATTGTGGCCACTTGTTGACTGCAAATTGGCTGCCACATCCTGAGGATGTGAAAGGTGCAATGTGGATGGAACAGAAGTTCTTCCAGTTCTTATTTAATTAGCCCATGGTGCAATTTTGTGCCTTGTCATGCTGTCATGGAGCTGCACATCACTGTGCATAAGTAACACAGTGTGGGTGGAGTTAGAATGCTCCAGAATTTAAGACACACCCGGTAAGACTACAACATGGACATGAAAACGTGACGAAGATTAGTTCTTATCTAATGTAACTATAAAAATGTCTGCAATTGTCATGTACAGAACTATTTAGTTTTAATGCATAAAAAAGTGTTATATTGAAGTTTAAGCGTTAGGATGGTTCTTGACTTTGCCTGCTCCTTGACCAGTTTGTAATGAACACAAACTCATAGCCTGCCATTAAACCACATGATAAAGGAGCAATCTGAAAACTAGATCCTGTTGTCTTTTCTCTTGTCACTGACTCTCAAGCACCCAATGCCCTCTACATAAGGAAGGTTTGAGCACTGACAATTTCACCTGAACTTACCGATATTGTTCCTTTGCCTGCATGATGACAAAATCCCACTTGTGATTGATCTTCTTGTTCAGGATATTGTAATTTTCCTTAAAGAAAAGAAACAATAAAGTCAACACATCAATCCTTCCCTTTTTTGTCATCCTTTACAATACCTGTGTATTGTCCTCATTCACCAACAATGTGTCCTGTTCCATCCACATTGATGCAGCGGTGAAGAAAGCATACCAATGCCTCTTCTTCCTCAGGATGCTAAGGAAATTCAGCATGTCCACAATGTCTCTTACCCATTTTTATAGATACACCGTAGAAAGCATCATATCTGGATGCATCACAGCGTGGTATGGTAACAGCTTTTCCCAACACTGCAAGAAACTACAGAGAGTTATGAACATAGCCCAGTCCATCATACAAACCAGCCTCCCATCCATTGACTTCAGCTATACTTGCTGCTGCATTGGGAAAGCAATCAACATAATCAAAGACCACTCCCACCCTGGTTATAGTCTCTACCACCCTCTTCAGATGGGCAGAAGATATAAAAGTTTGAATAAATGTACGAACAGATTCAAGAACAGCTTCTTCCCAGCTGTTATCAAGCTTTTGAATGGGCCTCTTTGATCTCTCTCTCTGCACCTTCTCAGCAGCTGTAACACTGTATCCTGCACTATGTTGTGTTATCCTGATACACTTGTACAGTGCAATCTGCTTGTAAAGCACGTAAGACAACCCTTTTCATTGTACCTCAGTACATGTGACAGTAATAAATCAAATCAAATCATTCTCCTGACTGTACCCTAACAGAATGGTGTCTCTCAGTGTTGTTATCTGTCCTGACGTGTCCTGGGATTAAAGCTGGTAACTTTTAGCAGGGAATGGGGGAGGTGGACAAATTATTGTATGCATTAAAAATAAATTGGAAATGGGTGAATAAAGTCACCAGATGACAAAATTAGAGGCAGGAGTATAAGTGAAAAACCACGAGGAATATGTTCACTTGGAGTTGGCAATCTAATGATCCCTGTCTGGAATTAACAGGAGAGGAAGATGTGGTTAGTTCAGTTGGCTAGGCAGCTAGCTTGTAACACAGAATAGTGCCCATTTGTAGGTTTGATTCCTGTACTGACTGAGGTGACTCAAAAACTCTCCTCCTCATCCCCTCCCCTTGCCTGAGACATGGTGACCTGAGGGTGAAACCACCACCAGTTGTTTCTGTCTGATGGGTGAGACTAAGCTGACTTTTCACCTTTTATTTACCAAATGAACCATTTCATAATAACAGTGGTTGTAATGGTCCAGATTGCGCTGTCCGAAAGGGTGGGTTCAATAGTGAATTTTGAATAGGAACTGGATAAATATTTGAGATAACAAGGTGTAGAGCTGGATGAACACAGCAGGTCAAGCAGCATCAGAGGAGCAGGAAAACTGATGTTTCGGGCCTAGAGCCTTCTTCAGAAATGGGCTTTTTCTGAAACCCATTTCTGAAGAAGGGTCTAGGCCCAAATGTCAGCTTTCCTGCTCCTCTGATGCTGCTTGGCCTGCCGTGTTCATCCAGCTCTACACCTTGTTATCTCAGATTCTCTAGCATCTGCAGTTCCTACTATCTCTGGATAAATATTTGACATGGAAAGTTTTGAAGAATTAAGAGGAAAGAACTGCGAAGTGAGGCTAACGGGATAACTCTTGCAAAGATCTCCCAGAGGCATGATGGACTGAATGGCCGGCTCCTCTTGTGCTACCTGAGTCTGTCAGGAAAGCTTTGGGCTAAATGGTGGTACAGATGCAGAGGCTGGTCCTGCGTGAAAGCACATTACGTATGTGTGAGCGATTGACATGGACATCTGTGGAGAGTGGACTGTAACAGTGTGCTACAACAAGAAAACTATGAACACCAAGGATTACATCTGCACAGCTCCAACATCTCAGTTTTGAGTCTCACACACGTGATATTTTTACAACTGGGACCCACTTCACCCTTTCTTGAGGAACTTGATTATTAAAGCCTCAATAAACAAGTTCCTCAAGAAATGGTGAAGCGGTACCCAGTTGTAAAAATATCACGTGTGTGAGACTCAAAACTGAGATGTTGGAGCTGTGCAGATGTAACCCTGGAGCCCTGATTCCAAGATCTCATATTTAACTTGCTGGCATTTAACCAGGAGGAAGTCAGTTGGCTGGACTTCTGTTTTGTGATGTGGAGTAATGTCAATATCATGAGTTCAATTCCCACATGGGCTGAGGTTACCATGAAGGTCTCTCCCTCATTTGAAATGTGGTGACCCTCAGATTAAAACACCACCAGTTCTCTCTCTATATGGGAGAGTAGCCCCATGGTCTGGTAAGACTATGGAACAAGATATAATGGGGACTGAAAAGAAACATGATTACAGCACACAGGAAACTCTTAGGTTAGAGAGGTATTGATATGAGTCTCACCTTCTCATAGTCTTCCAATATACCCTTCTTGCATATATTTTTCTTTGCCAAATAAATTGCTGTTAAACAAAAAAAATCATCAATGAACTATTTCATTGCAGACTGGCAAAGAATGTCTCTACATTACAATATGGACAATGCTTCATTGGCCTTAAAGCACTTTAGGATGTTTTGATGTTGTAAAGGACGTAGTATAAATGTGAGGTTTTTCTTGTGTTTTAATTTAAACATTTGTTGATTTTTCCACTGCTAGATTTTTGAAAGTTGGCACACGTAAGAAGGAAAAAGATCATGAGAAAGACTTTAATGAAAATACTCACCATAGTCTGTGTCTTCTGCTGGCCACTCCTGAGTGGGCCAGAAGTAGGGGGTCTGTAGAGGATTTAAAGGTATATGAATTAAAAAACATAATCTTAGCTCACAGGGAATGCATAGAGATAGGAGGCTGGGATATGTGTGTAAGTGTGTAAAAGCACCTTAGAGATAAAAAGGGTTTATCTTATTGAAACATACAAGGTTCTGAAGGGGCTGGAAAGGATAGATGTTGAGAAAGTGTTTTCGATAGTGGAGGCATCTCGAACTGGGGGACACAGTTAGGGCATATGGGACCAATTATTTAAGACTAAAGAGCAAAAGAACTTATTTTCCCATAGGGCAGTGAATGTTTGGAATTCTCTACCACAGAGAATTGTGGAAGCTGGATCACTATTTAAAAAGGGGGTAGATAGATTTTTGAAATATCAAAGAGTTTAGAGCTCTGAGGAACTGGAAGGAGAGAAGAGTTAGGACCTAGGGCAGATCAGCTCTGATTTTACAGAATGGTAGAGCAAGCCAAATGTTCTACTCCTGTTCATATTTCCAATGCTCTTGTCTTGAGATTAAATAAATTGACCTTTGAACAGTTAATATTGTTTGCAAGTAAACATGAGCTCATCCAAAACATTGCTGCCTGTGTTTTACCTCACACCAAATTATATTCACTCATCACCTCTGTGCTCATTGGCATCCAGTCAAGCAAGCTGGAAATTTAAAACCTCACATTCTGACTGACTCCTGATCTCTGTAACCTCCTCCAGCCTCACAGCTTTATCTGTATTCCTCTAATATGGTCTCACACTTGTCCAATTTCCTTCAACCAGCCATTACTGATCATGTCTTCATCTGCCAAGGCCAGGTGATCTACCACACCTTCCCTAAAGCTCTTCATCTTTCTGTCTCCCTCTCCTCATTCCTTAAAATCCACTGCTTTGACAAGCCTTTAAGATACCTGAGATACTCACAGATACTGTCAAACCTGCTGAGTTTCTCCAGCTTCTCAGGGTTTGTCAAAAATTTCACTTTTGGTTGTAGTTAAGTTGTTTGAACATATTCCAAACCTACCACATCACTGGACCTGAAACATTAACTCTGATTTCTCTCCACAGATTCTGCTAGACCTGCTGAGTTTTCTAGCATTTCTGATTTTGCTTATAAAAGCTCCTTGCTTGTCTTTGATACTGGTTTCTCAGAAAGGTCTGGGGATGTTTTACCACTGTAAAGGCAACGGAAAAATGTAAGAACTCTGAAGAAGAATTATACCGGACTTGAAACGTTAACTGTCTTTCTCTCTCCACAGATACTGTTAGACCTGCTGAGTTTCTCCAGCTTTCTCTCGTTATAAAGTTATTCAAACATATTCCAAAACAACAACAAATTGTCAATTGGATAAAGACTAGCCAGCTTATTTATTGATAGATATTTCATTGCTGAAAGATTCAATGATTCTTTTTTAATACATGGGTTGGGATTTGATCTGTGCCCTGGGGTATTCTCAGCTTAGCCCTAAATTTCACCAAATAGGCATTTAACAGGCCCAAGTAGAAGTATAGAATCGCTACAGTGCAGATAGAGGCCATTTGGCCCCTCAAATCTGTACCAACCCTCCAAAGAGCATCCCACCACACCACCATAATCCCACATTTACCATAGCTAACCCACCTAGCCTACACATCCGCGGACATTATAGCGTGGCCAATCCACCTAACCTGCACATCTTTGAACTGTGGGAAGAAACTGGAGCACCCGGATGAAACTCACGCAGACATGAGGAGAACATGCAAACTCCACACAGACAGTCATCCAAGGCTGGAGTCGAACCCAGGTCCCTGGTGCTGTGAGACAGCAGTGCTGATCACTGAGCCACCGTGCAGGATGTCCATGAGCTGACAGCAGCATCTTAATCCGTACCATTCATATCCAAGCCATATCATGAAGTAATTCAGACTTTGCCCGGGGAGAACTGTGGTCAATGAAAATTGCTCCATTTAATTGTAGCATAAAATCTTGCTGTCCTAAAGGAGACCATTAGGGCCATCATAATTGCGCCAGCTTTCAATAACTACCAGTTAGTCTGCATTCCTCATTTTTTCTACACAATCCTCTTTGAATT